TCGCCTCGCCGCCTGCAATTCGCGCCGCCGCCTTTGGAGACGACTGTCCAAGTGTTTGCCCCGGTATTGATCACGCAGCCGTCCAAACAACCTTGTTTTCCCTCGCGGCCCGACAACCAACCCGTCTCTGTTTGTGTCACTCGTCTCCTCCTCCGGGACCTTTAGCCCCTTGTGTTGTTGCAGGATCCTGTCGGACGCCCGGGACCTCACCGAGTTCCCGTCTCTCAACGGCACCGCCGCCCTGGAGATCCTGCGCCTGGACAGGGCCTCCCTGCGGGACGTGCCCGCCTCGCTGTGCGTCACCTGCCCCAAGCTCAAGAGCCTGTGAGTATACGCCACCTGCAACCCCCGCCGGCCCGGTCTGATCGCTTCTTCCATCTCTGCGTTTGGTTCCGCTCTGCCCGAGCGAATTCCCTGCTCCTCTGGCCACGCGTGGATTCTCTCCATCCCCGCGATCCCCCTATCCATCCATGCTCTATCCATCTCCTCCCGCCCAGACTCGCCGCCGCCATCACATTTTGCCCCTGACCACAAACGCCCCCCAGAAATCTATCCGCGGGATGAGAGTGCCCCCCGTCCCCGCCCTGCTTCTGATTGAAGAGGGACGCAGACGGACGGGGAGCCCCGCCGGGGCCCGGCGCAGCCATCGGGCCGGGGATGAAAAAGGACTCGTCGTCGTCGGAGCCGGACTTGTTTTCGGCGTTCCGGGCGTTCCTCCATGTCAATGTATCTGCCCGCCCCGCCCCACGCCACCCCCACCCCGCCCCGCCTCTGAGGCTAAACCTCCGCCTGTCTCGTTCGTTGCAGGGACATGAAGTCCAACAAGCTGACCCGGGTACCGGAGCTGACGGCGTGCAAGGAGCTGCGAGTCCTGTGAGTGGACACGACGTGTCGTCTGTCTGTCTCCGTCTCTCACACACAATAACGACCGTCCCTCTTGCCCGCAGCGACCTGGCGAGCAACGGCATCTCCTCGCTCGAGGGGCGCCCCTTCGCCGGGCTGCGCCAGCTGCACGACCTGCTGCTCTCGCACAACGCCATCGAGAGTCTGCCCGAGGACGCGCTGGACGGGCTCACCAAGCTGCAAGTGCTGTACGTGGCGTTTCGTTTCGTCTGGCGTTTTTTTTTTTTCATAACCCCTGGGGAACGTGTTTTTTCCTGCTCTCCCTTTGTTAATTCTTTATTTATTCTCGTTGCAGTGACCTGGAGGCCAACGGCATCAACTACATCCACCCCGAGGCGTTCCTGGCGGCCAGCTCGCTGGAGGACCTGTACGTTCCCGCCGCATGCAAGACTCCCTGCCCTTACACCCCAGTCCAAAAGCCACATCACATGAACGCCGTGTGCGGACACAACAGAATGGGAGAGCGGCCGAAATCTCGTAGGACATGTTCCTATAACGAGTTCTTTTAACTCTGTCCGTCCCCTTGAGACTTGAGACCCGCTGGCCGTTTCTCCCATGACGTCCACATCATCGCGCGTCTATCTGATGATGACACGGTTGCCGAGCTGACGCTGACGGCGTGGTGCTTTTTGCGTTTGCAGCAACCTGGGCAACAACCTGTTCCCGGGGCTGCCGCCGGCCGGCCTGGAGCGCCTGCTGCACCTCAAAACGTTCAACAACCCCAACCTGCGCGAATTCCCGGCGCCGGCGCACTTCCCGCGCGTGCAGAGCCTCGTGCTGTCGTACGCCTACCACTGCTGCCCCTTCCTGCCGCTCATCCCCGCCGAGGCGCCGCCGCGGGCGCCGCTGCACGAGGCCGTGCTCTTCCCCACCGACAACGAGTTCGACATGAGCCTCTGGAACTCGTCGCTCACCGACATCTGGCCCCAGCTCCGTAAGTGTGACCCCGCGGCCACGGCGCATCGAAAA